TATGTGTAGTTTTTTTTTTTTAATCCAATTTTATATACATTTTGTATTTATGTACAAGTCACTTAATGAATCTTGAATTAAAATTATACTATTATAGGCCTATCAACTATTAGATGGTTCGACTTAAAATTGTAGGTATTCTAGTCGTTCAGCAATTGCACTCGGCAGTGTAAATTTTTTTTTTTTTCCTTTTTTTCTCCCTTTTTTTTTCTCCTTTTTTTTTTTCTCCTTTTTTTTTCTTATGAGATTTAGAAGTTATAAAATGTTTGGACATGGGCACTGATAATTTGATATTAAACAAAATATATAAAACATAAATGAGGCAAATTCATTTTGGGAAATTCAGTAATTTTAAGTATATTTATTTTTTTTTTACAAAAAGGTTTGGATGGAGCAAGGTAATCTGAAAATGTCATGATTCGAATGGCACCTTTAATTAATTTATTAAGTTTGTCTAGATTTCTTGGGTAATCAGCTGTCCAGACTAGGCAGCAATAGAGAAGATGAGGTTAAAAAAATTGTGTAACATGAGCGATTGTTGGCCTAATTCTTAAATTTAAGAAGCGATGGTCAGTATAGTATACACGATTAGGCTCAATGACATTGGACAAAAAGGAGGTGTTGGATCTGAATATTAATTAAAGGATTTTATTGCAATTTTTACGAGATGGGTCGGAAAAAAAAGCTGTGCTACAGAATTTGCACTCATGAAGTGAACGGATTAAGATTTTGATAAAGACAGTGAACTCATCAATCACTCTTCATGGATTCCTGTAGCAGAGAGCATACGCCAAACTATAACCATTGGTTGAACTTATTTAAACAAACATAAAGACAGCTTATGTGCAAGTGTTAAGGTTGTGGTTGTTTTTAATTGTGACTGAAGTACACTTTATTTGTTGGGGCGTTTTGACACTAATGACCCTTACTTGAACGTTGATCTCACTGTGTGAACACTATGTATGTGGGATGTTTCATTGGTTCTACAAAATCCAAGTGAAATCGGTCTATCGTTTGCAACAAATACATATTCCATAATGTATTTGTTGCAAATACATTATGGAATATGTATTTGTTGCAAATACATATTCCATAATGACACCAAAATTAGGTGTATTTTTATAAACACAAAAACAAAAATATATTTACAAAATTACGCAATCGTTTTTCATTTGGTTCTAACTCAGTCAACATCAGGCGACTATTCGTTCTAATAATAATAATAATAATAATAATAATAATAACAACTAGATTTAATATGTCTCATTGAACAATAGAACTTAGGACTTTTCCCCATTGACACACGAAAAACAACAATAAAATCATGCAAAAATTGTGGAGAAATTTGTGAAGATAGAACACATTAAAAGCAACTCGAAGTCAACTAAACCTAAACTATGACTATTTTTTAGGGCGCTGCACCGCAGCGAACAGCTTGTCACAATTTTTAAGATTTTAACAAGTGTAAGCTCAATGATGTCCTACCGAACCATCATCAGTTTGTCGATCAATCTACCAGAGGGGGCCTTATTCTCGATAAATGTTACTGCAACATCCAGAAGGCATTTAAAACCACCATTAAGGCAAGTTTGGATTCGTCAGTTCACGACTATACATTTACTACCAGCATGATGTAAAAATCGTGAGGTGTCTCTCACCTAGATCACCAGATTGATCCTAGCAAATGGTCACATTTGTGAAAGGGGGACTAGTCATCCGTGGATCTACAGCCTCTCACTTCAAGTCCTATCCACTCCTCGCGGTGAACCCTGTTAACCTCCACCTCGCGGGACGGAAACCAAACTTAGATAAGAGTTAAATAGTGAAGACTAATGTGGCATGAAAAACGAACCTTTCCTTATGGACACTCGGCAGAAATGACAGAACTGCAACGCAGTGTAGACTGCGGTAAAAGGCGAAAGCATGGTAGCGCTATGTACTGGCCATCTACTGCAGCTATCAAGCTATTCAGATGTCTTGGACATTCCTTGCCTCTGGAAATACTGAAGTAGCCGAGAGAGTGAGGGAAGAAGCACGTACCATTCTTCCACTTAAATCAAATTGTCTAGCGTAGGTTTGATGGTCTGTCGCTTGATGTACCCGAAACCAGCATCAGCATTAGGCAGCACTATGTGACGGCCCAGCTGCCTTGTCTAGGGATGCACTGTCTGGTTGTACCGGGAGGGTCAATAAAAAGGAGACCTAAACAAGAGCCTGCTTTCATTTTCACCTGCCCAGCACAACGTGGTGGGGAGTGACTCACTTCAGCGGGAAAAAATTATAGAGAATTAAAAGGACACCAAACCAAAAGAAACCGAATAATACGAAACCGACATGATATTGGCATATTCGAATGATCGCACCGCAAAAGAATCAGCCGTCCTGAACGTCGTTCAGCCCTAGTAGGCAGAGAAAACTAGAAATTACGGGGGTTTTTTGACATATTTTGGGTTCCTGACATTGTTTTCACAAATTTCCATTCTTTTTAGTCATCTTATGGCCAATAGCAATGCCGTATGCGTGCATCAAACATAGGGATCTTTGCGCGCGTTCACGCCGATATACAGTGAAAATGTGCTAAAATCTGGCCTATTTTTAATCAGTTATAGCTCCTTAGGATGAATGATTACCCCAATTTTTATTACATATTCTGAAAGCGGATGAGTTGTAAATATGATTTTATAGATCATAATGACTGGTCGGACATTGTGACGTCATCATATTGCCATCTAAATTTTAAAATACTGAATTTTATCTATGACGTCATTTTTGAAAATACGCATTTGAGCGTATCTCGCTTATCCTTGTGATCGATCGTCTCCCAACTTTGAGTATGTTATAGCTGAGACAATTCTCTTTCATATGTGACTTACATTTTGATGACGTAATCATGGTCAAAATAAATGTTTTTTTCTGACCCTCCCATCATTTCTGAATCATATTAAGTGGGCATAAACTTCAGGTCAAGGTTGAATGTTATGTACCTTAATTTTCTGTTTGTGCGTGTTAACGTGCGCGTACGCGTGCCTCAAAAATTATATGCTTAAAATGATGCCTATTTTTTAATCAGTTAAAGCTTCTTAGAATGAATAGTGACCCCACCCCCCAATTGTTATTACATATTGTGAAAGCACATGAGTTGTAGATATAATTGTATAGATTATTATGGCTGATCGGACATTGTGACGTCATCAAATTTCTGTATGAATTTTAAAAACTTAATTTTTATCTATGACTTCATTTGTTAAAATACTCGTTTAAGCGTATCTTGCTTACTCTTGATCGATCGTCTCTCAACTTTGAATATGTTTTAGCTGAGACAATCATCTTTCATAATTATGACTTCTATTTACATGTTAATAACGTCATCATGGTGAAAATGAATATTTTTTCTGACCTCCCTCATCCTTTTTTTCTCAAAGCTTTGACGATTCCCATAACCAATTGGCATTTCTAAATTATATTCAGTGGGTATAAAATTCAGGTCATGTACCTTTTTAGTGCGGGCGTCATATGTGTATGTGTGTTTTGAATTCTCAATATCACTTTTTATATAATTTAAAGCACGTTTCAGGTCATTTTCAGCATTCCAATATTCCAATTTCACGCGCACAGCACGTACTGAGCTAGAAATTACGTTTTGTTATATATTTTTGAGTTCCGACTGTATTCACAAATTTGAATTTTTTACGCGTGTATCAAATATACAAATCCTTGTGTGCGTGTTTTATCGACATACAGTGAAAATATGCTAAAAGCATACCTATCTTTCATCAGTTTTAGCTCTTTAGCATGCACGGTGACTTATTACATATTCTGAAAGTACATGAGTTATAGATATGATTTTAACCTCTTGGGTCCCAGTGGCCTCATATAAGAACATTTGTTTGTGTCAAGGTCATATTGTTATTAATACTAGCTGGCTGGCACTACTGTCCGATGTTCGATGAAAAGGTGTCTGTGTCCTCTCTAGTTAGATTTTACTTATTGCCAAATACAACACTGTCTGATGTTCCAGAAAAGGTGTCTGTTGTCCTCTCTAGTAAAATGCTCAAAATTACTAAATTAGAGCATGTTTTATGCCATTTTGAGCATTTTAAAATTTTCCAATTCGCACGGTGCGCTCTTGTTGAGGGTCAAAGTGCGACGAATCGCCTAACTCGTCCTCAGTGACGAGTTCAAGTCTAGTTATTATTATTATTATTATTATTATTATTATTATTATTATTATTTGGTATATCATCAATGAAAAATGGCCACAATCTTATTTAACTAATTCATAAGCCATGAAATACCAATCCTTAATGTTGAAATATACCATAAACCACTTACAAAGAATAAATTGTTATTTTTTGGTGACGATAGTCGAATATGTAAATGACTACATTCGACGTCGATTCAGAGTGGGTATGGATATGAGGACCATTCAAAGGGAGGAAAACGTCCAAGATCAGATATTTTCAAAAACTAATCAACTGATCTGAATGAAACTTTTGAGAAAGTACAATCAAGTTACAAGCAAATATTATTACACGTTGGTGACGAACCCGTTGAGGGTGTAAATTTGAAGGTCATTTAAATTTCTGATGTGCCAAGAAAAAAAAATCAGAACAAAAGCAATGGCTTTTCCAAGTACTGCTGGGAAAAGCCAATAATAATAATAATAATAATAATAATAATAATAATAATAATAATAATAATAATAATAATAATAATAATAATAATAATAATAATATTAATAATAATGATAATAATAATAAGAAGAAGAATGATAATAACAATGAGATGATGATTATGATGATGATGATGATGACGATGGTGATGATGATAATGATGACGATGATGATGATGATGATGATGATGATGATGACGATGATGATGACGATGACGATGACGATGGTGATGGTGATGGTGATGTAGTAGTAATTATGTGTTTCACCATTATTCTCGGTCGTCAGTGGATTCCTTGTGGAACTCTCACATATACTCCCATCTTGACAGAGGCAGGAATATTTAGCAGAACTATCGCTAATTTGAGGGGCAGCTACGCACAGATGAGAACATCCACCGTTATTTCCTCCACAATGGCTAATAATTCCTGAAGTGAAAAAAAGTGAGGGTTTTAAAGGAATTCCTAGAAAAAAACTAAAACATATGAATGATCTTTATTTACTTTTTCCCTTTATAGAAAAATTCGATCAAATCCTTACCGTTACTTTGTTTTTCAGGGTGATATATCTGGATGCCCGCGGGACGATTGAGATTTTGAACCAAAATAGTATGGATTCCATTGAATTTGTTGGCTTTAGTGATAGCCTTTGTCTGCCAATCTGTCCAGTAGACATACTCTTCAAATACAGTGATAGCGAAAGGATGAGGCAGAATTGAATTTGATTGCAGGATGGTGCGTCTACCTTGACCGTTATAGTCAATGCTACTTAGGCTGTATCTCAGACCATCCACCCAGTAGAGAAGGTCACCATCAAGATCAGCGGTCAGACCATTTGGCCAGCTGATGTCAGTGTCCACGAGGGTCACTCTTGCTTCTCCGTTCATTCCTGCTCGTTCAATCTTAGCTGCCTGGCCCCAGTCAGTCCAGAACATGTACCTGTGGAAAAACGAGTCATGTTTCCAATAAGATTTTTATTTTATTTATTTTTCTCTCAAAAAATTCAACATTCTCTAATTAAATTTTACATTAAGAATGTTCATTTATCACACCAGAATTTCATTTATAAAAAGTATATATACTAATTACACGTTGGGAGTCACCCCTTTTAAATAAGATTTGAAATAATTAAGAAACAAATTAAAATTAATTTGCAGAATGTCACAAATTTCAGAAGGAATAGTACCCCAAAATTGTGAAAATATTAAACACTGTATTATGAAAACAACTGGTTAAAGAAAAAGAGGGAATAAACTCAAGATGATCTGTGCGAAGAGTATTTATTGTAATATGATAACAATATCAACTGAATAATAACTAAATAAACATTTAAATACATAGGATATAGTTAATTTTAAAACCTTTGTTTAACTAAAATAATTAATCAAATCATAATAATTTTTAGTAAGAAGACACATCCTAGTTGCTCTCCTGTGGATCATTTCAAGAGCATTTACATGACCTAAATCATGGGGCAGCCGTGCAGGAACATGAAGCTAAATGAATGATGAAATCGGAGCTGTGTATATTAATTTAAAGATAGCAGAGGTATTATTGCATAAATTTAATCTAGAAATCTAGAGGCTCTTGAAGTAACACAAGGTACTTGTGGGAATCGACAAAATCGGATCTATTCTTAATATTTTATATTTTGCTGAGTTGAGAGTCATTTTACCCCTCTCACTCCATTCACAGATACGGTAAAGGTCTTGCTGAAAAATGTATTCGTAATTTTATTTGCAGTCTAATCGGTATATAAAGTAATGTTAAAATTAATTTAATTGGCAACAAATATATATATATATATATATATGTCTCTTATACACATCTAGATGTGTATAAGAGACAGCTTGTTGAGGGTCAAAGCAGATTCCGATGATGAAAGTTTAGATGAGGCACCAAGACGTAGCACCAGATTACAGAGAAAGCTGCTTAACCAAAGATGTCAATCCATGCAATCCTCTAGCGACAAAAGACTTCAACGTTTAACCGCCATTGATGATTAAGTGTACTAAATCGACTGTAAATTATTTAAACATATACAATATAATGTAATATCTTTATATAATGAAGCTAAGTTTTTTCCTACGTTTGAAGACAAACTTAATTTAAGCAGGGGAATGTGGGGATGCTACAGGGAATAGCCCGCCCTCAGTGTTTATAACAATTTGTAATTAATTTCAATGATTTTAATATTGTAATTGTTTTAATTATCTTTCCTTTTAATTGATTATCATTCAATATTGTAGATATTGGATTTTAACTTTTAATTGATCTTTATTGTATTGTAATAATTCCTAATTATATATTATAGCTTGTTAGGTAATTAACAATATTTAATTTTCCAATTTTAATTATTTTAACAATGTAATTAATTATAAGTATATTGTTGTAGTTTCTCTATATAATAATTTGTAATCTGATTGTAAAATGCTGCCTGTTTTTATTGTATTTTATCAATTTTTTTGTAAAGCGTATTGAACAGTATTCTGAAAATGCGCTATATAAATTCATATTATTATTATTATTATTATTATTATTATAATCCATTCTGTGGTTTTTTAGCGTCGTTTTTAAATCCTATGTCCGTTATTGTTTATCGTGTGAGTCACCGAGAGCCGTACATTGATAGAAGCGTTCTCATAATTCTGTTTACATTCCCCGCTATTACTGCTATGTGATTGAAGGACGTCGTTGTCCTCTTTATTAGTGCTATGTTAACTGCAATAAAAGTCAAATTCACCATCGGACCAAACTACAACTGAGAGACGTGTTTATTTCTGTTTGTTCGCCATTCCTTACAATTTGGTGTCAGAAGTGGGATAGCAGATTGGATTTGGTTTTTGGCACTATAGAGGGCAGTGATGGCTAGTAAGGCGTCGTTGCGGGAAGTTCAGCGAAATGTGGATGAGAGGGCAGAGTTAGAAGCCACCAGGAGAGCTGCAAATGGTAACGGTAATGGAAATACTGCGTATGTGCTACCGGAAAGGAAGTTGCGTTCTTTCTCTGGGTTAGATGGAAATTTAATAGAGACCTTTGCTGACGACATCCAGGCAGCCTTGAAGTTTCGGGGGCTAGGTGGACAAAATGCAGCTGATTTCATTTTGGCCCATCTGGAAGGCGCCGCTCGGGGAGAAATTAGGCATCATCCACAGGTAGCAAATAATAATAATAATAATAATAATTTTGGCTTATATAGCGCATTATGCTAAAGTCTCAATGCGCTTAACAGTATAAATAAAATTTGGGGAAAAAAATTAAGAAAAATACAAGCTAAAAAGGTGAGTTTTTAAAGCTGCCTTAAAATCATCAATGGAAGTTGCCTGTCGGATTGTAATAGGCAGAGCATTCCAAAGAAAG